GTGCGCAGCAACGTTAGTCGAGAGCTCCATGCCCGCACAGCCTGATGCGTCACCCACCCTTTAGATTTGCCATTGACTTTGTGTTCAGAGAAAGATACGTCGGATAGGGATGTGTCGAGGCCGACATTCTGAGCCACCTGCCTTATATCCTCATCGCTGACCCACTGCAGTAATCGCGAATGTCCCGAGTGACACATTGCGCGTTTATCAGCCACAGGGCTTGTTGGCACTGGTCAGGCCAGCCAGACAGGTACAGCCAACTCACCCAGTCGAGCTCTCCAATATACAGAGCATTCTGTATGCTCGGATCCGTCACTTTGGGCCTGCCGGCCAGGCCCGAACGTCCGGGAGGAAGCGGTAGAGCAGCGCTTGATCCACTACCGGAGCCAGAATTCGAAGCTGAAGTCGATGCTCCATCTTGGTGCAGACCAGAGTACCGGCCGTCTTTCCGATCCGCCTGTGATGCGGCGGCACGGCACACAACGCAACTTGGCTTCAGGCCGACCAGAAGCGAGCTCGCTGCGGTCTTCCCCAGCATACACTCACGTCTTCTTCCATATCATCTCTGCTCCTCTTCACCGCGTTGGCGGAAGCATTCCCAGGGTCAGTTCCAGTCTCAGGATTGATCTGTGGCGGAGGTATGAAAGAAGAAGAGCCGCCGGCTGACGGGCCTGCCCCATTGGATCGCAAAGCTGCTTTATCATCTACTTGGGAATCTTGCTCCTCTTCCTTGTACCCGATGAGGTCCTCTTCATCCTCTACACCCTCTTGGGTCTTGACCGGCGCGTACAGATCTTGCTCCTGAATGTATATCAAAACATATGCAAGGTGGGGATAGCAATCGTGCAAATCGTCAGTTGACTGCTCTCTTGTCCATCTTGACCAACCCCACTGGTCCACCGCAACCCTTACGATCCGACGTCGTCTAGCATCGTATCGTAGCACGCAGACGTAACCTTCGAAACTCACGCCGTACAGATCGAAGTTATCGTCGTCCATTTTTTTTTCAAGTCTTTTTGGCTTAGCTTACAGATTGATTGATCGATCAGCGTGGAGTAGGGGGGAGAGAGACTGCCGACGTATTCGGCAATGCAGGAAGCCAGATGGAGCGAGTCTGAAATCAGACCGCACAGCAAAGCACGGGAGCCTGGGGGCGAGGGCGAGAAGGGGCGAAAGCGGTAGATGCTGGGATCTTGCGTCCTGCCCACGAACGAGGTGTGCAATGCGGATGTGCTTGCTTGCCTGCTTGCTGGTGTGAGTCCTT